GGCGGGGGTTTGACAAACATCATTTCCTTGGGTAGGGAGGCCAAAGACACGTCTCGAGACGACGACGTCGAGTCGAAGTGAGGTGACACCGGTCAGTGTCGCATTGCGACGTGCTCGGTCGGTGTTCAACTTGTTTGCTTCACCAATGTCGCTGTCGTCGTCGTATCCTCCGTGCCATGAGTCTGTTGCTTTGGCCGCATGTTCCTGAGACTTGGCGCGGTGTCAATCGGAGTGACAGTTGCATAGACGCAGCGACGATAGTGTACGCACCCGCGTGCGCACCGCAGTGCGCCTGCGGCAAGGCGGCAAACCATCTCAAGCAACCAAACGTCCTGATAGTCTTTCGACTCTGTAGAGGCAGGAATCTCACATACGGTTGATGGTAACGGAGGCAATCAGGGGCGGGGGGGCCTTGGCTACTGTTAGAGACGGCGCATACGCCTACATGTTCCAGACGTTTTCCATACTATGGGCCCAAGCAATAGTATCGATCATTTTTTTCTCGGCAGGTTGCGGCGGATTGCAGTGTGTCATTCGGTTTGGGCATCTCCACTGATTGTCTCATTGCGACAAGCTGATGGTTTAGAACGAACGGGAAGAGGGCCTCTTTGCCCCATGAGCTCCGTTCGTTGGCATGGTCACCGGTGAGCTTTCCCAAAGCATCACAAGTTCCCTAGGTTCCAGAGTCCCAGAGTCCCAGTACGGATACGTAGGCGAGGGAAGACTGAAGAGAGGTGGGCAAAGAAAAGCTCAATTGTCAGTTCCGGCTCCCCGTGTTCGGGTCGAGCTTGATCGAGAGCTTCGAGGCACGCTGAACAGGGCGCCCTGTTCTGGTTGGCGACCCCTTGTTGCCTCGGCCGGTTGGCGATGTGCGCCATCATAAGCCCGTGGTCGACTTCTGACCCAAGTGTCTGGTAATTGGGTATTACGGCGGAGGAGAAATCAGCCGAGCGAGTCATCCTACATCGACAGACCTTTGTAAGTTAGTGGCTTCATCGGAGAGTTGCTGAACGTTGGACGGCGAGTTATTAGCAGCACTGCAACGTCACCTGCTGGCGCCATGCATCGTGCTATAGCAAATTGTAAGTGCAAAAGTGCATACGTCAGGGGAGCTACCTTTTTCTTCCTCTCGATACCTTAATCAACGAAGGATTGGCAAAGTGCTCTCGGTTCTGCGTCAAAAAGACCCCCGAATGCCACGGAGGAAGGTCCTGAAGTTCATCACCTCGGAAGCAGGTACAGTGCTCATGTAGCTCCCTGCCTTTTCTGGGCTAGAGCCGGCAGGAAGGCAGGAAGCGCCCTCCACCTGCATTCTTTCCCTCTGCGCCCAGCGCGACATGTCATCATCCGACATCCAGTCTCTCTGAGGCAGGAGGCAGGCAGGTACGGATGCTCCCCTCCTGATTCCCTTTCCCGCAACCTTCCCGCCGTGTTTCATCATTTCTCCTGGGTCACCAAAGTCAACACCAGGCTGCTGGGAATCTGGGCTCGCCCATTCGCACATCAATGTCGAGCGCCAGCCTACCAGGTGGGCTGCCTCCACGTTTTTTGCTCCCCTGTGCCTGGTTTTTCTTGTTCCTGACTTATGGACGTGCCCACACTGACGCGCTTCTGGCTACAGGATCAGGTTCGCACCGACAATCCCAACCCCGCCGACGTCGCCTCTATTGTCTATCGGAGAAGAGGTCCAAGAGAAGGAGGAGATAGTCAATTGCTGGCTACCTACGCAGTATGGTTTCGGCTGATGCCACGGCGTCTCTGAAGATCGGATATGAGTGTATGTCTCTGGAGTAGCTTGTTCGCAAGATGACATAATAGGCAGTTTGACGAGACCCAGACCCCCTTCGGCGGCATCACTGATACTCCATCCTCATTTTCACCACGAGCAAATCAAGAAACAGTTCCAGGCAAGCAGGAAGGCTCTTCAGGCCCGTTCCGCAGGCCCCGAGCTAAGGTAGCACTAGGGGGGGGGGGGCAGGCAAACGAGCTGGCGACGAACAAGGGCACATGGCGGATGCCCATAAAGCATGTTGGTACGAACAGTACTCCGTAACACACCATATGGATACTCGATACTCCGCACCGCTGGCTTGAGTTGAGGCTTGAGGACGTTTGGATTTTACTCTGCTTCTGTACTAGTAGCGTGTGGATTAAGTTATATGATTGTGTCGGCCAATTCAGAGGCTTATTAACTCAGCGTCTAGGGCTCAACGGCGAGACATGAAACGACGAGAAACACCTGCACAATTCCCAGCATGCAGGGTGGGTGTTTGCATTTCCCAATCCCACCCGAGGTGGTGATGAGATTTGCAGATTTGAGAATGGAACTCGTATGCATTGCCACACCTACCCGTATTCTACGAGCTACCGCGCTTCATCAACGGTTTATTTCACGGCTACCGCGATAGGCCCGTCGCTACCTAAGGCTCATCTTTGAGTTACTTGGCCGGATCATCAGCTCTCCCCGCCATTCGGATGCTTCCATTCGCCTTCTCTGCCCCTGGCATTGCCAACTGGTAGTATTCAATGATGCCGACGGCGTTGATGCGGCAGTAATCCACCAATGCAAGGCGGGCCAGGTACCACGTACCTTCCACACAGCCAAATGGGAAAGATGTGCTCCGGTACCTGAACATCGCGACGCTGGGATGCTTGACAGCGTACTGCGTAGTTGGACACACGGGCCTGGCATAAATGGCCCTAGCCGGCGTTTGCCTGCTGTTTCGGGGGCTTGTGCGAGCAGCCAAGGTCGCGCCAGATCCATCGGAGGCGCTATGTATGCACAAAGCTGGCCGTCTTCTATTTTGTGTTCTGAAAAAGCGACATGGTGGTACGGATACCGCCCGCGGTGACAATCCAGGCGTGAGGCCCAACATGCCTGCCAGTCAGTCTCGGGCAGCCTTCGAGGTTAGCGTTTGGGCCCTAACGTGGCGCCTCCCGGCCCCCCGGCTGGTCTACTGGTTGGCGTGGACAATTTCCCATCGTCCCCTTGCTTCTTACCTCTTTCGCACTCGTTCTGCCAGCCGGTGCCGCTTGCTGCACACCACACGATGAGCTGGCTGCTGCTGTCAAACTTGGAGACCCGAGGGAAAGGAATAGTGAGAGAGGAACGCGGCAGCTGTCCTATGACTACCTAGGTAGGCGGCAGGTACCTACCCATACGGTCGAAGCTGCTACACAAGCGCACACCGCTGACCTGGCTCGTAGACATCACAGTACAGCTGCAGGCTCGAACTCATCACGTCCTGCCAGGCCCCGGTTGTGGTTCATTCGCGTCGATGTCGCGTTGCCGAATGAAGCGCCTCAGTACAGATACGTACCGATGGAACCAAACGTTTACCTAGCTCACCGAGATACCTCCTACGTATCCAGATAAGGTATGGAGGCGTGGGAGGTACAAGTAAAGCACGAGGTGAGGTTGTGGAAGAGGACAAGGATACGTACCTGAGCTACCGGCTAGAAGTCAGGTACGTACTGTGCCTGAGCTCACACCAAAGTGACCAAAAGTGACCAAACGGACGGACATGAGCTGCATCCACTTTCCACCTTCCCCGAGCTTGCGGCCCCTTTTTCTTTTTAATCTTTTTTCTCATTCAGAGGTGTGATGTGATGGTGATGCTTCAGTCCATCCACCACTACTAGAAACACCATTTTGAGCTCGGTTTCATGGCTTGAATTGACAATTAGCCAGATGGAGACGACGAAAAGACACACTGACAACACAGTGGTCCTTTGCCCCGACATCTTTAGGAACTTGGACCTGGACCCCTCCGATCACTCCCGCCACCAAGAGACCCTTTTTCCTAGCTTTCAGGGCTTCCAAGTGGCACTAGCATTGGTGATGAGCAACAAGCTCGCGGCAGCTCGCCAGGTTCCCCTTTTCTTCTGCTCCCCATGTTGTGCGAGAAGTGGAAACGAGGCTTTATGCGCTTGAACCACTTGTACCATCCAACAGCGGGCAACCTGACACGGATGACAGCCTTTTCCCTTTCGCAGACGCGGGATGCAGGCACGCAGGACAAGGCCACTTTCTTTTTCACCTTTGGGTCTCCAGTTTCTTGCACCCAGATCCGGCCGTTCAACGTCTTGAGTTCAGGGTTGTCTCGATCAATGACCGTCTCAACCTCGACGAGGCTGGGGATCAGTCACTACCATTTTATCCGTACGCTATGATTCCCATCTTTGCCGATGTGCCCGCATTGTTCCCCTCCTGGTGCCCTACGGCAGATTTCCAAGGTTTGCTCAATTCCCAGGGTCTCCCTCTCATACTCGTCATCCAAATGGACGACGAATACACTGGTATCGACCCGGACTCTCTACGTGTCGCGACGAGACGACACACACACACGCTCTCACACACACATAAATGTACACAGGTACACAAATACCAATCGTTTCCTGGAGCACATCATTCACCAGACGACGAAGACCCCCGTCCCAGCCGGCCCCAGCCAGTGTCGTCGAATAAGGCTGCAGGATTCCCATCGCGGAGCTCCATTCTTGGACCTGGTTCCCCGTCTTGCCCTGCTGGGCGTGGCACGCTACATGCGCGTACCGTCAGGAACGTTACGGTGTACACTACTTTGGCCTGAGGTACTCGTCTCTGTCCACGGATAACGAACGTATGCGGTCGTGGACTCGCAGCAAGACACAAAACCCCAGGTACAAGATATACACCACTTTGGCCCAGTATTAGGCAAAAGCTGTTTGGTCCTGTGGTTGTTTTGCTGGCATATCAAAACACAACACATACACAACACGCACCTTGCATTACTGCGCAGCGCCGAGGTGCTCACCTCTTGTTCAAAGTTCCTCCTGCACGCGCCCCGCGCCACAGAAGTATTGCTCCAATCCAGAGTTTGTGTCTTGATCCGCTGTTGAGCCGGTTGAAGAGGAGTCAATTTCGTCTGGGGCATTATCCAACGGCGTGAACGGCTTGCTCCCCGTTTTCCTCCCCTGGTTGGCCGCACCGTGCTCCCTTCAACTGGCCGAGGTATTCTTTACGGATCATTCTGTCCGTATCGTTCCTTGGTGTCCTTCCGGGTACATTCCTGCTGGCTGGTGCGGCTGGGATTCTGGAGTTTGGTGCTGATGCTGATGGTGATGATGCTGACAGTATTGCTGCCGTGGGCTTGCATGTGCAGAGTTGCTTCGTGGGCACAGCCTGGTGTTATTTTCTGCTCTCCGTCTTTTCTCGCAGCGTTCGCAGCGTACGATACTACGGTGGTGGTCGTGGTACCTGGTGATGCCGCCACTCGCAGCAAGTCTGCAGCATATCCCATGTCTAGGGCTACCTGATGAACATGTATCCGTTGACAACTGCCTCGAAGCGGATACATACCAAGCTCTATCGGGCAATGACCTCTACGTTTCTGGGCCATCACTGCCGACCACCCCGGCCAGAGATACTCAGTCGGGGCTACGCAGTATGCCAGTTCATCAAGCATCGCCCGCTGCCCCATCAACTCACGTCCCATGAGTCTGGATTGGAGTGAAGATGGGTTGAAGGACTTGCGCGGTGTGCGACTGCGCATGCGCGGCGGCGTGACCCCCGTCGTCTTCCCGCGCGACGGTCTGTATGTCAAGTTGCATACCAAAACAAGAGACGGGTCGACTGGTGTGGGCACGATGGAAGAGGGGAAGAGAGGAACAGACATATTAGACAGGCCGTGAACCGTGACGGCGGGAGGCGAGACCAGCAGAAGTTTGATTTTCCAATAATTCAATTCCACCCCAGGGATCCAAGCACCAGGCGCAGACGAGACAACCGCCGGAGAGAAAGGAACGAGGAAGAAGAAAGTCTACACAGCGGCCACTCGCAAGTTGCAACCAAACGTCCGAACATAATCAAACCAAAAGTCGACCCTGCAGCCGACAGCATCATCCTCTTTTTTTATTTCTTGCTCTTCTCGATTCAGGTACGGATACCTGTCTGTCTCTGAGGTGGTTCTCGATCTCTGGACTCTGGCTGGTACAGTTTTGTCTCTCATCACCTTGTCTCTCCTGCCTGCTACCACTGGCACAGAGAGAGAGAGAGAAAAGATACCTAACACTTCGTACATATCCCTACAGGTCAAGTCAGGTCAGGTCAGGCCAGTCAGGTACCCTCTCCCGCGCGCGCACATACACACACCACTTTCTCCGTGGACACACACTCTCTCTCGCAGGGCAAGAAAAGAGAGACAGACACTGGCACAACTGGACACACACACACACACGCGCGCACATTGGCACACAACTCGCACACAAACATTACAGCCTGACCCTGGTCGCTAGCCCCCCCCCCCCTACCTAGGCTTTTTTGGCCGCCCCGGGTCCCAGGAGACTCCCAGACCACCACCATCACACCCCCCCTTGCCTTTTGCCTTGGACACACCCTTCGAGCGCAAATTGGCCCGCCAGAGCCAAAGGGCAAAAGGGCAGAAGGACTGAGAGGGAAAGGGAAAAAAAAAGCACGACTACCCCCCGAAAACCATTAGCGAAATTGGGCCCCTATCACCAGTACCCTCTCCTTCTACCTTTCACCCCCCCGGATTCATTCGTTCATGCTAAGAACGGGCCCCCGGCCATTTTTCGAGTCGACGGCATAGTGGCCGGCTCCTCGCTCCATTTTACCACTTACTCCCGGTCAGTTGAAATCAATTTCCCTTCCATCTGCACTGCATTTCGTACCGCACTTTGCACGCCTGGCCTGTGGACTAGGGGTACCTACCTATCTTATTACGGGAGTACCTCAGATCCCTACACAGAGCCACAGAGCCCAGAGGTTCCTTTCCTTTCCCAAGTTTCCCACCCCTCGTCCCCTCGCCCTCTCTCAAATCCTCGTCTTCGCCCATCCCGACGCGGGTCCACGGTGAATCACTCTGCTGGATCGTGTGTGGGTTTCTGCTCTCTCTCACGCCTCTCTCTCACACTCAGTCTCTACTAAGGTACCCGTACCGCGCAAGGTACCGTACCTTACTGGTGTCTGTCTACCTTACCTTACACGGTACCTTACCGTACCGAAAGGAGTACCTTTACACTCTCACTTTCTCTCACACACTCTCTTTCCTCCCCCGTCCCGCCCATCCACTCGACCCTCGTCACCCATTCATTCTTGCTCTCCCTTTCCACTTCCGCTCGGCTTCTTGCTCCCCTCCTCTCCCAGAGCTCCCTGACCCCTTCCTCTCTCATCTGTTTCTTCGTCCCTCTTTTTTTAACAACCCATATGCGTCGCAGTTCTCGTCCAGCTTTTGCTATCCAACAGGCAGAGCATCCGTCAACTGCCGTCCGGTCCGCGAATGCTGCATTGCATTTACAAGCAACCTGCTATTACTTGAACTGCACCCAAGCACGCACACCACACGCATTGCGCAGACGGGACAGCAAAGACTGGGTCGACATCCAACAACACCACTACCACGGCCACCCAAACACCTCGTGCGTCGATGCTCATCTCTCCCCTCGTCACCAGCTTCACAATTCAACGCGGCTTCCAAAAGAGACCAAACCAACAAAACCTGGTCGCCCAACCCCCCTTCCACCTTCCAAGGGTCGCTTCCTCATCATCGCAATCTCGACCCACGCACCCGAGAACATCGTCTCCTCTGGATATCCACGTCTGAGGATCCATCCCCGATCGACTGGTTCTAGCTCCATTCCCACCCCCTGGACCCTTCCCTGGCCCTTTTAATAATATCGACCACCTCCTGGCTTCGACCGTCCCTCGCTGTCTCCTCTTCTTCATCTGGTTTCGCTCTCTTGGTCCATCCCAGCTCAGTCATTCTCGCTTTTTTTCTATTTCCAAAATCAACCTGTTCCCCGACCCATTACTCGCGACATCATCCGCACAAAGCATTTCCTTACTACAACTTTCAACACTTCTTCAACCAAACACACACTACCACTACCACCACCAACCTTGACCACTACCACTATTACCACCACCACCACCACCACCGCATCACCACCAACAAACACTACCACACTGGGAAGAGCTACCGGTCTGAATGCCACAGGTTTCGCAAGCGGCTCTTACACAGAGCTCCTCCTAGTTAGGCACAGCATTGGTACGGTCCAGGCTAATACGCCTGAGAAAGCGGCCTTGGCCAGCTGACCCGCCCCAGAAACACCGTCGTCACGAGGATCTTGACTGGAATCAACGATCACATCCACACAACAAAACTCACACAAAATGACGGTCGCACACGAACTGGCCCACAGAGGCTCATCATCGCACTCTGCCAACAACATGGCTCTCGAAGACCGATTCGAGGTCCTCAAGGAAATCGGTGACGGTAGCTTTGGCAGTGTCGTTCTCGCCCGGGTCCGTAGCGCAGGTGCTAGCGTGGCTCGTCGCGGTACGGTGGTAAGTTCCTGCATATCAATCCCGTTACACCACATCAAGTCACTAAAACATCGTTTAGGTTGCCATCAAGACCATGAAGAAGACTTTTGAGTCATTTACGCCATGCTTGGAGCTTCGTGAGGTCGTCTTCTTGAAGACGTTGCCCAACCATGCCCACCTCGTCCCCGCTCTGGACATCTTCCTCGACCCGTACACTAAGAAGCTGCACATCGCCATGGAGTACATGGAGGGTAACCTGTATCAATTGATGAAGGCTCGGGATCACAAATGCCTCGACAACGCCAGTGTCAAGAGCATCCTTTTCCAGATCATGCAGGGCCTCGAGCACATTCACGCACATCACTTTTTCCACCGCGACATCAAGCCCGAGAACATTCTTGTCTCCACCTCATCCCACCAAGACACCGTCACGTCTTTCCGCAGATATTCGGCTCTCGTCACTCCCCCGTCCACGCCTCCCAATTACACCGTCAAGATTGCCGACTTTGGACTTGCACGCGAAACCCACTCAAAGCTTCCCTACACGACCTACGTTTCAACGAGATGGTACCGAGCACCCGAAGTTCTCCTGCGTGCTGGCGAATACTCCGCTCCCGTCGATATCTGGGCTGTCGGCGCCATGGCAGTTGAAATTGCAACACTCAAGCCACTCTTCCCCGGTGGAAACGAGGTCGACCAAGTTTGGAGGGTATGTGAGATTATGGGAAGCCCCGGAAACTGGTACAACAAGTCTGGTGCCCGTGTCGGTGGCGGCGAATGGAAGGACGGTACCAGGTTAGCCGGCAAGCTGGGCTTCTCATTCCCCAAGATGGCTCCTCATGCCATGGATACGATTTTGCAGCAACCTCAGTGGCCCGCTTCGCTGAGCCACTTCGTTACGTGGTGCCTGATGTGGGACCCCAAGACCCGCCCGACCTCAACACAGGCAATTGCTCACGAGTACTTTGTCGATGCCGTTGATCCCCTGAGGCCGAAGTCCTCTGCATCGAGAATCTTGGGCCGCAAGCAGTCCGATCTTGGCCGCGGCAACAATTCTAACTCATCTACCCCTACCTCCACCAAGCCGTCGTGGTTCAGGAAGTCCCTTATTGGCCGCTCCGAAAGCGCCGAAGTTGCCGTTCCTCAATCAATTTCCAAGGAATCAACCCCGAGACCGTCCCCCGTCCCCTCGCAGACGACGAACGAAGTCCCCGTCGCGAAGACGCGCCCTGCTCAGTCAAAGCGCACAACATGGACGAATGGCCCATCCAACGTCGCACCTATGCCGATACTCCCCTCGATCCGCCCCATCTCGCCCATTTCCGATGCGGTGACTGCCGAGGCGAGAAACGGTGTGACTTACAACGATTCATACGCCAACGGTCGCCAGCGCACTGTTCAGATTGATGAGAAGAAGAAGATTGGCAGACAATTATCGGTCGCCTCAAGCACTAACAACTATGCCGAGATTCACCGCCAGCAGGCCGAGCGAGCCCTCAACGGCAACAGTGGCCTTGCGTCGCCGCCCGGTGGTCATAAGGAAAGCTTCTTCTCCCACCTCCGTAAGCGTGCCCGTCGTTTCTCTGGTAGGCATCAGGCCCCCATGTCACCCAACTCGGACGATGTCGAGGCTCAGGCCGGCTGCGGGCCCTGGAACAGCAACCGGTCCTCGATGGTGATTGATAACAACGCGCCTACTCCCCCGCCGAAGCCTACGGAACTTTACGAGCCTCTTGATAAGGCGTTGAGAGATGTCCAGCAGAACCACGACAACGCTCCCGTCCCACCGGCACACCTCATTACTCCCAGCAGCACTCTGAAGAGACATCACTCTCTGCCGCAGCACCATCCGCGCTCTGTTGACAACCTGATGGGAGCTGCCAAGGGAACCGGACCGATTTCGAGCCGAACCCGTCGTGCCCACGCCCATTGTGTCCAGCACTACGACGCGCCCGATGAAGAGGATGAGCTACTCGATGAGGTTTTGAACTCGACCCACCGAGCCATGAAGCGCCTTGAAAAGGACGGAAAGCCTGGACTGCGGCAGTCTGCCAGCAACATTGGCATTTCGAACCCGTACCCGACTCCCTCCCCTTCGGCCAATGGCAACAACTCTGTGTTGTTCGGTGACAACCACGAAGCCGTCGCACCCAAGCCTTTGGATCTGAAGAAATCGCATGGCGCTGAAAGTCAATACAAGTGGCCTACTCCCCCGTACGAGGAGAGTGAATGGGCTGCATCGGCGTCAGCCAGCATTTGGGCGGCTAGCAATCGGTTTTGAGGCGGTTCTGCCTCTGAAAGAGATTTTCTTACAGAGCTGAGCAGATACCA